TGAAAAACTAACCGATTGTGAAGTGAAAGCCTGAAAAATCGACCCTTTCGACGTGAACATCGCCTTTCAACCCTAGAGCTTGCACAGACTCCATGGGGAACCGATGGGGGAAGTTGGCCAAGAAGTGGCCATTCACCTCAATCTGAAAAGTGGAAAAGTTGGAAAATTTCACCAAGTTGGGAAAAAGTACTATTCAGTAGCTGCTGGAAGTTAAACGTGTTTCACATTTTTAAGAATTCTTGTTAGAAATGATAGTTCAATTATTGCGAAGTACTTATAGTAACGCATCCCACCTCATAATGATCTTGGTGCGCGTGGATGTGAAGATGGAATTGGTCGTCATGATGTAGTGGGTTGGAGTGCTTGATCTGAAACGTCAAATAACGAAAATTTCCAAAAACAAAAAGAAAGAAATCAAAAGGGGACGTGCCTCTGTTCCCCAGGATCCATGGCTGTATGAGTTCATAACCACCTCATGGGAATGGTGGAATCGGAAGTTGACGTGAAGAACGATATGTGGTCCTGACAAGAGCTCAACGGCGAAGTTTCTGAATTAGTCATTTTTAACGGAGAACTCGAATTTTTTAAGGCGGAGAAACGCACTTATGATGGCCATGTTGGACCTTGCCATAGATGTCGACCTTGCAACCGGGATGAAGCGTCTCGCGGATGGGGATAGCGCCGGGAACTGACTGAAATTGAAGACTGAAGAGAAGGGCAGAGTGAAAACAAAGAGTAATTACTTACTGGATTGTAAACGTTATGCATCTTGACACAGTACGATGTTTCTTTAGCGCACGCCGACTGGCTCAATCGCTCTGATTAAATATGCCCAGGATCGCTGTGTCATCAGTCGTTGAATCGTTATCGCCGATCGCCGGGCGTTCCACATTTTCGATGCCATGCACAAGCATTGCTCATGGTTGGAAAACCCAGCGCACGAGCGCCAAATATTTGGCCAACGCCTCTTGAAACCTTTTGTGAGAAAGCAGTTAAGAAAGGTCATAGCCATTCACTGGCGCTAAAAGAGTAGAGGACAGCTCAGCCAGAGTCCATATTAGCACAAGGCGCTTCCTGCTGGGAAACTTTTTGCAAAATAAGTTCTCCCGCTCTGGGAGTTCTACTTTGGTACCACCTCTTCCCATACCCTTTCACATCCTTCCTGCCAGCTCCCTGAATTTTTCCAACTTCCGACCACTTTTCGGGAGTTTTTTCTTCTAATAACTGCCCTTTTAACCCCAAAACCTGTCGTCCGGGGGAGAAGGGGGAAGAGGTGTAGCTCGCATGAGCCGGAAAAATGGAGATAAGTCAACAGCTAGAGATACTCTTTCCATAAACAAAAACGACCCCTTCCTACAGCGACCTAGTATGACCCCCTTGCTCGGAATCCCT